AAAATATGGAAAGAGAGTTAAGGATTTTTTTAGTTTATATTTAATTTTTTATTTAAATTTACCGTAAATGATAAATATTTCACATTAATATATTTTATATTTTCGACGTGTATTTTATTTATAATTTTATTTATTATATATTATTTATTTTTAATTTTTATTTTATTTAATTTTTTGAAAATTTTGACATTTTTTAGGGTTGGGGGGGATCAACTGAGCGATCCGGTCGGGTTCAGGGGCTTATTTGACCCCTTAACTTGTCACGTCACGTGCAAAGTTTGCACTTTACCGGGTGACGAGGCGGTGACCGGATTGAAACCTGCAAAATATGAAATTTGGATCTTTTTATCGAGTTTAGGATGCCAATTAGAGCTCTTTTGGGTTCAGGTGGCAAATTGAGCAATCCGAAAGGGTACATGGACCTATTTGACCCTTTAGCCTAGGGGTGGGTAATTCTGTTTACGGTTCAGTTTTCTTCGGTTTTGGTTCGGTTTCAGTTTATTCGGTTTAGGAGAATTTGTACGAAATTAAATTAAAACCATCTGAATTTCGGTTTGGTTTCGGTTTGGTTTCGGTTCGGTTCGGTTTACAAAAGTGAAAATTATTAGGTACAATTTAGTTTGATTTGATTCGGCTTCTTATGTTTATTATTTTATTTGATCAAGTTCTATATTTTAGGATTAGATATTTTAGGATTAGAACATGGAAGTAGTAGTCCATCTCATCTTCTTTTATTTATTTTTAAATAAAATGTAAAATGAAATAAAAGATAGAAAAAAACATATTATAGATTAAAACTTCTAACATCTTTTCGATCACTAGAAAAAAATTCTCTTCTCACAAAAAATAAATCTATACCGCGTAGTTGATTAGCATTTATAATATCACATAAAATATTTAAAAAAAAAAACTAAATGATTCAGTGGTACAAAAGTTGTAATATTCATAATTATATTCAAATGAATTGTGTAAAAAAATGCAATTTGTGATTGTTATCACTAAATATCTTTTCATACAGGTAAAATACAAAACACAGCAAATACAAATATGCCGTATTAGCTAATTTTGTCATAATAATTGTATGAAATGTGTAAAAGTTAAAATGATAGATAGTATATGCTAAATTTGTATTTTTCATGTCTAAATTATTTATGTATATCCTAAAGATGAAAAGTGAAGAAAAATAGAAAGTATCTATGTGTGTGTGTATTATTAGTTGTTCGGTGTTCGATTTAATTTACGGTTTTTTTTGTTTTAAACCAAACCAAATCAAACCAATCGGTTTGAGAAAATTGTTACCAAACGGTTTACTTATGTTAGACAAAACCAACCCACCAATTTTCGGTTCGGTACGGTTCGGTAAAACCAAACCATTATGCCCGACCCTACTTTAGCCTACATAAAATATACGAAGTACTAGATTACTAACTAGTACTCTCTTTATCCCTTAAAACTTTGCCAACTTTCCTTTTTTTGGATGTCCCACTAACTTTGTCCATCTTTTTTTAGGAAAAGATCCTGAAATAGGACTAAAACGTACAGTTTGAAAATCCAAAAATAGGACTGACATGTTTTTTATTCCCAAAATATGAGTAATTACTGCCAAGCTTGGAAAATACAGCCATGTTTGAAGTCTGGCACTGCCAAAACATGGCAGTAATTAGTCCTATTTTGGGGGAAAAACATGGCAGACCTATTTTGGAATTTTCAAATCTTTTTAATTAGTCATATTTCGAGTAATATTCTCTTCTTTTTAAGTAAAGAATTTGTACTGTGGTTCCAGTTAATTCTTTCTCATATGCACAACCCTCAACCACACAGTTTTTACTTTATTAATCTTCATGCCGGTAACACTTGGCATGATTTTAAGGGATGGAGGTAGTATTACGGATAATAGTCGGGGTCGTCAGGGTAATTATATGGCACACCCATTTTTTTTTTGAAATCAAATAAGAAATATTATTAAATCATATTGTTCTGTAACAAAGTCACAAGACAATCGGGTGGCGTAATGTACCACACACAATCGGGCTCAGAAATAGGTTGCCTAGCTAACACATGGGCAACCCGGTACACCCGAAACTTTTGTAATTAGTTCCACTTTATAGGGTATTGGTTAAGTTTGTTGTTTCTGATTCTTTTTTTTGGCCGCACAATCTCCCCTACTCTTCACTTACGACTCTCCCCTACTCTGACCTTTCCTTCTTTTGTCTTTTTTTCTTTGTTTGGTTGCTTTTACTTTTTCTATTTTGGGAAAATCGCACTTTTAGTCCCTGAAATAGTCACGAAAATGAAATGTCGGACCCGTATTCCCAAGTTTGTAAATGTCGTCCCTCAATAGTCATAAGTGTTGTAAATGTGGTCCTTTTAGGGGTGAAATATACAATGTGGGCGAGAGTACATTTCACCCCATAAAGGACCCCATTTACAACATTTTGGACAATTGAGGGGTGACATTTACAATATCAGAAATACGGGTCCGACATTTCATTTTCGTGACTATTTTAGGGACTAAAAGTACGATTTTCCCTTCTATTTTTCTGTTTTCTTTTCTTTTTTGGTTGCTTTTACTTGTTGTCTTCTTCTTCTTTTTCTTTAACAATTTTTACTTTATTTCTATTCAATTATAATGAAAATATATTATATAAAATATTATTTAATGTTTGAGTTTGTTTTTTCTTTTTCCAATCAACCTTATAACTTAAGTTTTTAAATTTTTGCATTATAAAATATTTTAAGAATTAATGTTTTGTTTTTCTATTTTTTAATTTTAAGATGAATATTTATTACTCCGTAGTTTAGTAAATATTGTGTGTTATTACTAATATAGGTTTTGTGTTATACTAAAATGAGTATAGTGCAAAATAAATGTGCAATAGTACATGTAAATATTATAAAAACAACAACATTATATTTGTAAATCAAGAACAAAAGATTATAAACTATTTTTAATAAAACATTTTTATATTTCTCATTTTATATATAATGATAGTTTATTATATTATATTGTTAATAACGGACCTACTAGATGTACATATTATAGAAACGAGTTTATGTTATATTTGAATGAGTATAACGATTGAAAGAAATGAGCATACACAAATTAATATTTGAACACAATAAAGAATTCAAAGGTGATTTTTGAATTTTTTATGCTTATTTTGTAAGTTACGTATGCTCATCTAGTATTGGTTTTACGCTCATTTAAAAATGTCGTTTTAATGATATTTCAAAACTATCATATTACATTAGATTTACATGAGAGTTAATTGGTTATAGACACTAGCTTAGAGATCATGATACTCAATTGCGTGCTTATAATACTCAGTAGAGGAGATTTGATGTTCAATGGAAATGTCTTGATGCTCAACTAACAAAGCTTATTATTTTCATACCAAATGCTCATTTTGTAAATTACATATGCTCATTTGGTACCGGTGTTGTGCTCATTTTAAAAAGTCATATTAATGCTTATTTCAAAATTATCGTATTACAACTACTAGAAAAATGCCTTACAGTGACACTTTTGTTTGTGACACTGTAATGACATAATGACCTTTATGACACTTCTATAATTTGAGACACTATTACATCAACCTATACAAGTTACAGTATTACATCAACCTATACAAGATGTATATAGACTCACTTCGTTCCATTCTCCTAGATTCTTCACCGAGAAGGCTATCAGTGACGGTATCCATGGTTATCTTTCCTTCCGGAGCTGAGTCACTAAGTGTAACCATGAGTGTGTACCAACTACCAATTCTCTGGCAAGGAACTAAGTAGTAGAAGGTCTTGCAACTCATCATCAATCTTCATCTCAATTTTGGTTAATTAATTTACGAGCCCATTGAAATTGTTTAAGTGTTCAATCATACTGTGACCATCCTTGTACTCCAACTTCACCAATCATCAAATTAAATTGGCCTTTTTGAGAGGAGTTATCCTTATTTTGAATCATGGATTCAAGCTGCGCCATAATTCGTAAGCATTCGTGTATGTAGAAATATGCTCGAAGAGAGTTTTGTCAATGTAATTACACATCATAGCAACGGCCTTCCGATTCAGTAGCTCCCACTAAACATCACTCTTACCTTCAAACTTCTCTTTGTAGATGATTGGCTCAGGCAAATCCTTGCAGTATAGATGATCCTTCATCATCGGCTTCCAATATGAGTAGTTGTTGGCAATGAGCTTGAAAATGTCTCCATCATGAGAGATGTTATCCACCATCTTGAACTGCACGAGCTAGTGACGACCTTCGATGAACCTGGCTCTGATACCACTGTTTGGAAAAACTCGGACATTCTCGCTTCGTGAAGTTAAGATAGGCACTTAGGAATTAAGGTAGAAATGGGAGCACAAGAGTATAATTCACCAGTATGGAGATTCTTCCACTATACAAAAGAATAGTAGGATTTACAAGTATGTGTTTACAAAATTGTCTCACTCTATAGTGACTCACTCAAGTTTGAGGATGATGTATTCCCAAGCTATCTCTCTTCTCTGTCAAAGAGGCTGTCTAACTTTCTCACTTTAAGAAGTGGATTCACTCTTGGCTTGGATGATTAGGAATGAAGTCTCCTAACCCTCTTTATACTACTCCATCTTTAGAATGAATGGTGGGGATGATTGGTATCTAAGGGTGGAGATTGATTCTCTAGAGTGCTCTACACACTCTAGGAGTCTCTTTACTCTTCTACTCCCTTCCATATCATTCCATACTCTTCAATAAGCTTCCGAAAGGTTCCACACATCTCCAGATATTCCAAAGGATTCCACACTATTCCACAAGCTTCTAGAGAGTTCTAGACTTTTCTAGAATTCTCTGAAAATTCCAGAAAATTTCATACTTCTCTAGAAAGCTCTAGAATTTTATTGAACCTCACCAATTAAGGAGGGATCTCAACACCATACCTTTGTTAAAGCTCCCCAACAACAAACATACAAAATGGAAATGATCACGAAATTATGTTGTACTCAGACTCAATTTAATGAAGCAATCGGTTCCAAACAAGAAATAATGTATTATTTAATTCCAAATATATAAGAGATAAGTGTTTGTGTATTGCATTCATGAATTTCAAGACAAACATTGAAACTTAAATTAATCTTAGTGATACATTGAACACAATGCAAAATTCAACTTTGCTCGGAATGACTGATTTAAACTTTTTAGCCCCAAGCAATTTTAAATTCTCTTTAATTAATATGATATATGATGAAACTCTTTCACATTCTAGCAAGACGGCTGATATCATAAGGGTAGGCGTCTGAGGGTGTTTGAGCACTATAAGCTCTCCTTCCAAAAATGGTATTAGCGGCATCGCCTGGATGAAAGGCGTCCCAGAACACGTGTTGATCTCTGTTGAGGCACGGTCTTTGTAGGGGAAGACACGTTATTAGACCTCTGTTTCTCCCGACTCCGCAACATCCGACGTTCGTCACCGTAAAACCTAAACATTCAAATTTTGAATAAGTTACTCTAAATCATGGGCACTGAGTAGCCATAAGTTATGAAAATTAGAAAATGTAAAATGTAAAGATAGTTTTGCAAACAATGAAAAGGGAGAATATAAAGATAGTAGAAAATGGACAATTTACCATAATTTGACGGGTTGGTAATGAGATCATTGAAGATTCCATAAGCATTGATGTAAATGAACTTTGCACCGCTATTGTTTCTATTGTAGGAATCTACGAGTTTCCTGAGGTTGTTGTTGAACAACTGATTTGCATCATTGATTCTTTGTACACAAGTTCTACCATCAGGGCTGTTCTGGGCCAGAGCATTTGGGGTGCAACCAATTTGGCCTAGCCCAAATAGAGCAATCTTCCTTGCTCCCAAGGAGTACAAAGTCTACACATTTTATTGCATATGAAACAATTAACCCAATAGGCCAATTCATGATGGAATTAAAAAATGTGTTTTTCCTTAAATGTTATTGAAATAAAACTTGTGGATGAGAATGGGACTAAAGATACTACAAGTATATCGGTATGGTCACTACAGTGTAATATTTAACATAATAACTGTCACTGAAGTTACTATTATGATTACGTAAAGACACACAATTACATTTTTCTATTCGCTACCTTCAGTTTAGTAATACATTGGTCATTATTCCTAAACGAAAGATTGGGCGCTTACAGTAATTTGTTGAGCGTATTGTTGGATGAGAACATCAGCATATTGCTGAGGAGTAAATTGACGGCTGGAAGAGTAGAAAAGAGGTTGGAAATAGTTGTTAAGATAGTCATTACTGCCCATCCCAACAATGTAAATGCATTTGCTCAAATAGTTGGCTGCCGAAGTCTCATCCCCCAAGAGTTGAACGATTTGCTGTACAGTGTTTTTGTAGTTATTTACCTGTCCGGCAAAAGCTGTCCTTCCACCCTGCAAAACCAAATTCATTGACTCCTTATTTACAATTTACCCGATCTTGTTACAAAGAACTTAATATGTTTAACAACTCTTCTTGAACTTGTAATATTTACTTTGGGTAGCCCAAAAATATTTCATTTTATTTATCTTCATAAATTTCACATGAATTTCAATGAAATGAAATCATGAATAATTGTGTTAAAGTCTCACTCCGAAATTAAGAAGTATGAAGTGTTATATTAAGATCTGAGTTACCCCTCTTATAATGTTGTTCCATAACTATGATGTGGGCCCCCTATTAAAAATGAAGATGATTATTAAAAAGGGACAATGACGAAAACATGAATGACGACGCGATCCAGGCGAATTGTTTGGTCGTGCGGAAGGGTGTTAAGTCCTACACCAAAAAATTTTAAGTGATAAAAGTGGCATATTAAGATGTGAGCTAGTTCTCTTATCAGATTGACCTTTTAAAATGAGATCTTAAATCTTAACCAATTAATCTTGTGTACTACTCTATATATAACTTAAATTGCTTCTATGTATTCGATGAATTATTCGGGTTTTAAGTCAATTTTTTTATATAGGAGTTTCTAAAAGAATCTAAACTTGGGGGGTCATGATGTTGTGTTGGATGCATTAGCCTCTTTCCACATTTAGGTGTGTTTAATCGAATCAAACTAAAGATACCCATTATGTTTGAGTATGTAACCTTATTGCATATGTCAAAGAAACTCTTGACGAATTATGAACTCCTGGAGTTGCCGAAAGGGAGAAGAGATGCAATTCCTTCACATATACCCCTCGTCTTCTTTCACTTATGAAATCGTTTCAATTAATTAAATACGTGTTCTAATCCTTGACCAATATGTAACCTTCTTGCATATGTCAATCGACCGAGATGTGCAGAGACTTAATTTCTACGGAGTATTTTAATAGCAAAGACTTTTAGTAAGGATCCCGAGTCAACTAAAAGACAGGAAGTTTTTCGATAACTGTTGAAAATTGAAAATTTTAAAACAAATTAAAGTTAGGTTGGTTTCCTTTAAAGGTTTTTTTCTTCAAAAGAGCAATATCCATAGAAGGGGATACCGTGGAATCGTGGATAATGTGATAAATGTGAGCATGTATTCTTTTCCAAAATAAATTGAAACGACTGATGATCATAATTCAATGGGGCAAAATGGTCAAGGATTAGAACACGTATTTAATTAATTTGTATCACTTTGGTACTTAACTAGCTTCTTAAGATACCTTGACGAATGTCATCATCCCATTCATGAAAAATGTTCATTGTATTCCGTCACTCTATGGACTATATATGGCACCTAGTTAATTCTTGAAAATGTCAATTAATGCTCTAAGGTTTCTAATCAAATCCATTAGAGTACATTATTAAGGATTATACTTATAGGGCGTTCGATAGGATGTAAAATAATTACTTTGCATGTGCATGTGAAATGTAAGGACGTAAAATGTTTAATTACACTATTTGGTTTGATTATTTAATGCAAATTAATTGACACTTTTTGAAACATTTCACATTGTATCATGTAAATTATTTTACGTGGGACTGGTAAAATGTTTTACATGCTTTTATGAAACACTACAACGACTTTGCCTGCAATTTAAAATTAAATTACATATCTTGTCAAACAGTGTAATTTGCTTTTAAATACAAAATTATTGCTTCCCTAAACTTTGATCGCAATCTTTCGCGTGCAAAGAATAAAAGTATAAACTTCCAAACAACGAGCCGTTAAAGACAAATTGTTATAAATCATATAGCCATCATCAGAGGCCATAATCGGTTCGGTTCTAATTTAAATTGGCTTATAGATACCTCAAAGCTAAAACTTGTAACATAATGGTACCAATCTATATTCACCGACTACCGTTAGTGGTCCGATTCTATACATATCCAACCCAATACCATTTTAAAAATCCAACCAATATAATAAGGAGCACTTCTATTTTATACCAAATAATTGAAAGGTCCTAATGTTGCGTAGGCAGATCCAGTCTTCATTAAGAGCACATCCGTCTAGTCGTCTACCATGCCTTATTTATGCATGGTACGTAGTACACTACTACATACTACCTCCGTCCTCCTAAGTTTGGGACAAAGGGGTGTGGTGTGTTTTTTAAGAAAAAGTAGAATTGTGTGGTTGATATTGAATTGATAAAGTATGAATAAAGTAAGAATGAATTCTAACCACTCAAATATTACCAAATATGATATGTGAAAAACTTAGTGGAACAGACGAAAAAGGTAAAACATGACAAACTTAGGGGACAGAGGGAGTATCATTTATGACTTATATTTTTACTCATTATACTAAAACTACACTTCGGTCACTTCCTTAAATAGTACTAGCTTTATCCTCGGGCCGTTTTTTCTTGCAACACCTTCCTCCCCATTAAAAAATGATACGGAGTACATAATTTATTTGACAATAATCAAATAAATTAATTTGAGTATAATTTGAGAAAATAGTTTGTTAAAATAAATATCCCCCACCACAAAAGTACTACCTCCGTTCTCTTTTAAATGCAACGTTGGACTTTTTATACTATTCACAATTTCACATGTCCTACTTTGACTCTATTTTATTTATTAATGTATTATAAATTAAATTTATAAAAAATATTGTTAAATTCCTCTCACTTCAAATTTTCATAATCTAATTTTTTAATTTTTTTTTACTAATACGGAATGAAAGGAATTACTGGTCAAACTTGTGCGTTGGCAAATGTGAAAAGTGAACCGTTGCAACTAAAAAAGAACGGAGAAAGTATTATATATGAAATAATAACTTATCATATAAGATCTTGTGAAACTCTTCCTATTAGGTTCACATTTTAGGATAAAATATCATATCCTAAAATAGTATCATAGTAAAGTCCCGTTGTAGTTTGATTACTCATTTAGCATCCATGATTAAGAATAGTTTGTTAATGATTTGTTTGATCCACGTCGTTGTCCAGCCCTATTTCGACTAATGGGCGTGTTACAGTAAATGAAATAATAAAACACTATGTAGTGTGATAGTATAAGAATATGAACAACTCCTCTGTCGTCTCAGGTTGAGTTTTAGGATGAAATTGAAAACTCGACATAGTTTGAGTAGGTACGTCATATAATGAGATAGTTAATGCTAATTGTGGCCTTGTGGGTTATAGGTGTGTTATATTAAAATGTGAAACTTTAGATAGGCATCATAGAGATTTTTTATTTGAGACTGACGGATTAGTTAACTAAACATAATAGAATGGCATTGGAAGTTCCAAATGCTAATGTTTCGTACCAATTGTCTGCCGGTCTCTTCTCTGATTCCGGCAGCGGCAGAAGCATAGTTGACTCCTTTGAGAATTTGTTGACCCGACGCCGTTGCATAAGACGGGATGAAGTTGTCGAAACCCAAAAGTTGAGCTGCATTTTATTTTGAACAATAAATAAATATGTACACGATTCAAAACATCAAAAAAGGCTTAGAAGTACATATAAGTTTAGTATAATATACTTACCAATAGCGTCAACGGCGGTTTTGCCATTGGAGAACCGTCCGGTAGGGCCGCCGGGAAAGTCAATGCCGTAGGGAAGGTAGTTAGCCTTAGCCAGGGAATTGATGTTATTGTTATTCCCATTATCAAGCAATGAATCTCCAAATATAAATAAACCTGGAACTTGGGAAGCAGCTTCCCCTCCTCCTATCCTTGTTACTACAACCAAACATAGTAACAATGCTGAAGCCAAAAACGCACTTATCCTATTATTCTTCCTAGTACCCATTTTTGTGAAGAATATCGTAAATGGGGTTTTCTTAGGAAAAAAGTAGAAAGTTCTTTTATGTGTCTGGATACAAACCAAGGTTTATGTATGCAAGATATATAGATGTGGATATAGCTGGGAGATATATTAAATGGCTTTGACCCAGTTTTATACGTATTATTATTGGTACTTAAATTAGTGTTTTACTACTATATGACAACTTGACAAGTTGTTCGATTGCATTAATTTCACGCGCACGGACACAATTTAAAAAGTTGATACTATACATTTTGTGTTTGTCCTTATTAATTTGCTTTTGTACTGCATGTGAGCCGAATAAATAGTTTGTAACACTTCTTTTGCATCAATTGCATACCATGCATGCATGTTATTACACATGTTAATAAGTATATATGCACATGCATGTAGTAATTCATTATATATTACCAGGGTGATAATTCAGAAATATGGGTTGGATTGAACAGGAATGAGTTAAATGGTAGCCTGGTAGGTGTAGGAATGTAGGTTCGATTCAACCATGCATTTCTTGGTCCTGGTTTGCTTAACTACAAAGTAGTTGAGAAAACCAATCTACACAACCAGTAGTTAAACAATAATTTTGACTTAAAACCAAAGGTATGTAGTTAGAAAACCAATCTACACAACCAGTAGTTTAAACAAACAAAAATTCAAAATTTGTTGTGTAGTTTGCATATTTAACTCCTCATTCACCACGGATTATAAAACTAATACAAGGAAAAATTTGACTATGCATCCCATTATTTGAGTGATATTTGACTTTGTACCATATATTCAAAATTATTAATATATACACCTCAACTTAGTATAAAATTATTTGACTTTGCACCACGCACGCTTATTCACAATTTTTTGCTGATGGAGCGAACACAATAATGATATTGAAAATGTTGGTATAAAGTCCAATACAACCCAAAACATGTGATAGAAAATCAAATTCCCCCATAATACAAACACCCTCCTGTCCGTCCAAAAGAAAATGTCTTTTTTGAACGAACAAAAGTTATATCTAACAAATCTATAACATTCATCGAAGTATCTGGTTGGTAATGATAAAAGAAAATGTCTTTTTTGAACGAACAAAAGTATAAGTATGGGTGACCCCCTGGGAAGTGTTTAATATTCAGTTGCGTATGAACATACACAACTGAATATTAAACACATTACCAAAAAAGCACCTTATTTGCGAAGTTCTGTCCTGCCGTCGTCATTTGCGGTGGTTCCCGATGAAATTTTTTAATGAAATTTTTTGAGCATCTTATTCATTAAGTCTAGTTTACTCACACCAAATTTCAGCTAAAAATTCAATCGGGAACACATTCAAATTAATTCTTGAAGATAACTGCGCATTTTTGTGTTCTCGAATTAATTTGAATGCGCTCCCGATTAAATTTTTAGCTGAAATTTGGTATGAGTAAACTAGACTTGATGAATAAGATGTTCAAAAAATTTCATCAAAAAATTCCACCGGGAACCGCCCCAAATCGCGACGACTGGACAGAGTCTCCTATAGAAGGACTTAATTGATTTTTTTATAAAAGTTCGAGGACCTATTTGGCAGTTTTCCCTGTAAATTATTATATTAAGTGCTTATATATTAAATACAAGTTATACAACGGAGTACGTAATACGGAGTGCTAAAGTAATAAGTAAACCTCTCAAAAAAAAAGTAATAAGTAAACCTAAAGATCAGCCCGATTCTAGTCAACTAGCCCGATTTGCATTTCAGCTGGCTCTTGAGTCAAAACGGGCTTTGTAACCGGTCCTGGTAAAGTACCAGGTGGCTGGTTTCTGGGTCGACCCGTCCAGTCCGGTCTGGTTCTTGCTTTATCAATTGCCAATATAATTACCTAAAAAATAGGTAATCCACCCACGATCAACTTACATGCAATTTTCAAGTACGGTAATTCAAATAAAACCCAACCTACCTCTAAGTTACATTTGGAAGTAGAATTTCAAGAAGATCAGATGCGCATAGACTTTTTTTTATCCAACCGACCACTTTTAATTTTGATCTGTACATGATGCATGTATAGTACAATGATGAATTCTCACGAGTAATTAATTAAAAGAAAAGTTCCCGAAATAGGACTAAAACAATTGAAAATTCCAAATTAGGACTACGACCATAATTAATTATTGCCAAGTTTGAAAAATATTGTCATGTTTGAAGTCTGGTACTGCCAAAACAAAGTACAAAGTAGTAATTAGTCCTATTTTGGGAATAAAAACATGACAGTCCTGTTTTGGAATTTTCAAACCTTTTTAGGCTTATGCCTTTACTTGGCCTGTGTTTTCGCACAACAAATTGGAGATTAATGTTTGATTCAAAGACTGTTGTGTGATCTAAGAACTATTGACTGAAGTAGAATTTTGAATCTTGAATTTGAATTACTAGCCTAGACTTGTTCGGCTAGGTGATGAAAGGGGAAGAAGCTATTTGAAACAAGTGAAGAAGGAGAAGTGCACACCGAGGTCCATGAAAGCCGGTCACGACGAATTTTCGCAAATAGAGAATAAAGAAAAATAGGAGGGACATTCCAGGGAGGAAGAATGTATAACGTTAGAGTGAATATATAACATCGTTGTTCAGCTATATTATTTGGGACTCAGCTCATTTGAGCTCTTTTTACGGAATAATTGACTAGGTCCATTTGAAGAAATATGACACTTTTTAACAAAAACCACGTACGTTCTTCTATTGAACAAATGTATTATCATTGTAAACTACCTTCGTAATTTGATGGTTTACAATGTATAACTCACCGTTTTGTTATACTAACTTCGTCCCAATTTGATGGTTCTAGTTCATATTCACTTGATCAACACAAATAAATCTTAATCACTCACTTTATATATCAAATTTGATTCTCGTTTTTGTAACTTTGTAAAACTTTTAATGTAATTTCTGAATATATAAATTTTATTTGTTACAAATAATTTGAGAGTAGACGGGAATTCGTTTGTTTTATCGTCGTTCAAACCTCGTAAAACGCAACAAGACATCAAATTGGAACGGGGTAGTATTAATTAACTAAATATATCATACAATATTAAGTAACATATACTTCCTTCGTTCTTTAATTCTTGCCACATTGTAATTTTTGTACTATTCACAGACCTTACTTTGACCACGATTTTCTACAAATATACATAATCAAATTATTGCGTATAAAATGTTATTGAATTCCTATCAATGTGAATTTCCAAAATATCAACTTTTTATAATGTTTACTAATACTTAATCAAACATAATTACAGTCAAAGTTGTGCATTGACAAACGTGAAAGTCAGACAAGAATTAAAGAACGCCTGTGGAGTTTTACTTACACTCGATTCCGATAAAGCAAAAAATGACCTTCACTCTTCCATTCCTATGTCTAATAATCTATTTGAAGTGATCGACCCTCTTTTGGAGTTTTCGAAATCTGTTCAAAATAACACTTTTTAGGATATAGTAGAGACCAAGAGGCACAGCGAAACGAATATCTGGCAAAAACATGTGTTCATCATTCAGGGGCATACCTCTTCCAAGCTAAAGAAAGATAGACATTTGGTCAGCCAGAGCAATACACTCATCCAAGTATACTTTTTCAAACACAACAATCACAATATCAAAAGTCAATCATATTTGCGTGGTAATGTGTAAGTGTTTAATACTTTAATTAAGAGAGAATTCTACTTTGCATCTCATTTTTTGGGTAATATTTGTCTTTACACCTTATTTTCAAGATCATTAAAGTATGCACCATATTTTAATATAAAATCATTTGATTTTGTGCCCCTCTTTCACAATATCTGAATTCATGAGACTCACACATTAATTATTTTAAAAATGAAGTGTAAAGTTGAATATCATCCAACACATGGGGTGCAAAGTCCAATTTGCCAATAAATTAACTCACAATAAGTAAGTTATACTCCGTATAATCTGTGATATAAGGCCTTTGGCATTGACTATTGTTTTCCAAGTTGTAAATATTAATGCATTCATTCATGACTTTCCAAATAGAATAGACCGAGCAGCCAAAAGTTAACGGGATAGTCATACTACTAAACTTCTTCTTCTCAAATAAGTGACATAATAACGGCATAGTCGTCTTACGAATACTATTACTATTGCATAGTTCATTTCAACTCTTATGTATTGATTTTGTTAATAATGTGTATATAATTTTTAAAGTCTAGCCTATGATTATTCATGATGCTTAGCCTTCATTAAAGCAATTGAGTACAGTTTTTCCGATGTATCAAAAAGAAAAACGAGTAGGAGCCCAATTCATTAGGTTGACTTCATGAAAGGAGGGATGGGATGTCAACAAGAAGTGGGTTTGAAGTAAAAGAAGCAGAAATTAGCCATTAATGCGGGTACCTATAACAGTAAGGCAGAGGGCTTGGAGAAGAATTTGAGTGCCGAAGTTAATACATTTTGCTGTCCACCACATGTTAGCCGACAATCAAGCTTACCTTTTAGTAGCATTGACTGATTGGCAAAAATGCAAATTCATGCCATCACCTCATCTCCCATGCCGTGGCATGGATTTCTGATACTAGGTCTCCATCCCATCCAATGATTTTTAAATTTTATGTGCTTAATTTCCTAACTTCTGACTTGTTTTCATATGAAATGTGAATTATACTTGTCGAGGCACAACTTTACCTATTAATATATATTTTCTCCGTTCTTTTTTAGTTGTAACGGTCAATATTTCACGCTTGCCAACGCACATCTTTGACCGTAATTATATCTTAATCTCTATTAGTTAAAAATAATTAAAAATCAGATTTTGAAAATTTGTAATGAGATGAATTGAACAATATCTTTTTAAAAAATAATATTCGTAAAATAATAACGTAAAATGTAGTCAAATTAGAACACATGAATAGTGTCAAATTCAACATGTTGCGATTAAAAAGAAACGGAGGATAGTATAATTCTTTATTAGTAAAAAAATAAATAAAAAATAGATTTTAAAAATTTACAATGAGACAAATTTAACAATATTTTTTACAATTAATACATTTTTTAATTAAACGTAGACAAAATATAACATGTGAATAGTGTAAAATTCTACATGTTGCACTTATTTAAGAACGAAGGTACTATATGACACCGTAAGAATGTGTGCGTATAATATGTTAGAACTCCATAAAGATAAAATGTATCCATGTTGTGTTTTAGTCGCTCATATGATGCACTTTATAAATAGTTTAATGAACACATGTGCATTGTCTTTGGAATGGTAATCATGTAAAGCCATTCTATTATTATGTATACTCCAAATTAGGAAGAATTAATGCAATTTTAGTCATGTAAGTCCGTAACGTTCGACTGTTCTTGATCGTTATTATTTCTGCAACTATACTCAGATTTAGTCTTATAACTAATAAATCTTTTCAATTTAGAACATTTTAAGTGGTCATGAATTCGTTGGAAAAGCTATCACTGAGGTCGAATTTTCTGCCGAAAATGATACTTCTTGATGGAAAAGTCCTTTAAATAAAAAAAAGTAGTTACATGACCAAATTTGCAACCCAATAAAATTACATGACAAATACTTGGCACAAAATAAAGTTACGGGACTAAAATTGAAATCGTTGTTTTAATATCGTTATTTTGCTTTTAAAGTAAAACAACGATACTATATAGCAGTAAGGATGGATAATAGAGTATCCAAACATATAATTAATGGAGAATTTAGAGCTAGAAAGTGGAGAAGAAGACAAAGTGTATAGAATGTATAAGTAATGAATTAGCCTTACAAGAGCTCCCTTTGGGAGTATAGATAGAGATACAATGGGCTTGGCCGCTAATATGAGCCCGATAGGCCCAACTACATAAAAGTCTAATCTAGTAGATACATATGATATATGAACTGTAAAACAATGTAAACGCTATCCGGTAAGCGTGTGTGGCCTGCTGTCCATGCCCAATAATCGTGAGACTACCCGTGGGTCCAAGTCTAATGCTCTACACAAAAATTTATATTGACCGATGATTTCAAAGTAGAAGTGGGCAAGCGAGTACAAGAATCACAATTTAGATTACAAATTAAAGGTTTAGGACGGGTTTTAGCGCTAGATTCCAATTTTATTGAATTCTAGGGGGTGTCCCCAACCATGACTTTGATGGACTTTAAAACACCATGGATTTTGAAATACGAAGAGTGTCTACAAGATTTATAGTAGAATGTTTCGTATGTAGAAATCCATCAAGATCCTCTAAAATTCATATTTCAACACCATGATTTTCATAGATTCCACAGAAATTCAAATCGAAGATACCGAAATTCTGGCAGAACGCTAAACAACATTAACATTTCCGGAATGTATATTGGGGACACACCCCAATGTGGACAGGGAGGGTATCCTTAAGTTTAGGTCCCGAACAACTCATGTAATTATAAAAATGAGTATCTTACCCCGACCTTTTTTAAATAAAAAATCCTACTCCGTAATATATTTTATATATGCAATAAACTACGTCGCACTAGGTATTAACTATGGAGTACTCCATCCGTCCCAAAATGATGGTCTTGTATTTCCTTTTTGAGATGTTCTAAAATGATGGCCTTGTTTCCCTCTTGGTAAAAAACTAAAAGTGGATCACCATTTATACCATTCTTTTTAATGAACAGTAAAAGTAAAACAATGAACACTACAATAAAGTAAGGTTCTTTAGTCTTTTAATCACACTTTCGTAATCTTTGTGTCTAAAAGAATCAAGGATTTTTCTATTGTTACACACTTTCTCTACACACATACACACTATAAATACCCTCAAAAAATTACCCCCTTTTCTCTTTCCCTCACACCTTTCCCTCCCCGTTAAAGAAATTTAAACTCCTGCTCCCAATGTTTTTGCACACCCCTTTCCCTCCCTGTCGCTGGCCGTTGAAGAAAAGCCTAGCCCTCCTCCCCGTCGCCCTCCTCCCGTCGCTGGAAGCTTCTTCTCCGTCCAAGGTTGTTGACGAAAACCGCCACAACCCTCTGTTTGAACAAGGCCGTCGAACGCAACCCTCTTCCCGGCCAACCGTCGTCGATTCCGTGCGACCCCCCGTCGATTCTGTCTCACTTCAACAACCCAAAATGGAGCAAATTCCACTTTCTTCCATGGCCGAAAGGTATGTATCCTCTATCCTTGGATTTTTAACAATTTGAGGCTACTTGATGATGTTTATTTGGAGGGTTCATAAGATATTTTTGTTTATGAAGTTTTGGAACTCATCTACTGCACTAGTAGAAAACTGCTTTACAGTGACACTTTTTTTGTGACACTTTTTTTCAAAGTGTCACTAATAGACGACTTAACTAATTAGTGACATATAGGTGTCACTAATGTGTGATACGACAACTAATGCTCTAACTAATTAGACGACTTTTTTGCTCTAACTAATGGTACTAAACTATGAATTAAAATTGGGGGCCCTCCTTTAGTGGAGGCCCTGTTCCACTGCACCACTTGCACTCCCTTAGGGCTGGGCCTGGTTGAAAAATAGAGGCCTTGAATGGGTATAAAGATTACATTTAAGAAATTTGTCAAAAATCATGGAAACAATAGAATCCTAACAATTGTCTAGATCTTAAACATGATATATATAGACAATCATTGATTTTAGAAGATAGACATTATAGTTCTTAATAATAGAATTTCTTCTGTTGGGAACGATCATCAAAACATTTAATCAAACATCATATCAGCAAAATATAATTTGAGACCTCTTGTTACATATATTTGTATATCATATTTCTCACTCACTTGAAATAAAATTAAGACTGGTTGAGATGAGGCCTCCGAGCATGGCAATAGAATTTGAATTCTCTAAATCCAAAAACCCCACCGATAGAAGCGAGTCGTGACCCCTACGGAAGTCGAAATAGGTATTATATAGCAGAGAGAATAACATGTTTCGCGTGATGCTCCAGATGGAGTAGGAAGGAGCCCAAAAGTTTCTGGATACCAGATGCATTAGAGTCTGCTAATGCATTAGATAAGGTTTGTCGAGTTATGTAAATACCCTTGTCAATGAGCGGGAAACATGATTAGAGACTTAACCCACTTAATTAATATATAGATAGATATAGATGGCTAAATTAATAATTTGGGTATAAAAGAGAGGAAAGGGAAAATTTTGGATAAAGTAAACATATAAAGTGAAAGTAATTAAAAAGAGATACATTGGGGAGAAGAAATTGTAAGACTTGACATGTAATGAGTAGAATAAGTAGAAAAGAGAAACTTAAATATGTAATTAAAGAGAGCAATTTATTTATTTCCTGAAATGGAATGTAAATCGTTAAATGAGACGTTCAAACAAGCTAAGAAAAGTAGGTATCATTCAATGAATAGTGGGAGACTTATACGAAGTATATAGCTGGCAAACAAGCAGCTGAAGAAACTCAAAAACAAAAACAAAACAAAAAACAGCCCCCAAATCCCTAATTAATTAAAGAATTCCGTTCAGAGCTTTGTTCTGTTCCTGTAGATCTTGCAAAGCACCCACGCATCAAACTGAAACAAAATAAAACGTTAATTAATATGGAGTAAAAATATCATGCCCTTAATTAGCACTATAAAACGCTTTTCATGCATTTTTCTTGACCAATTAATACATATTGGAGTATATCTGTACATATTTAATTTTTAGTTACCCTCATGTCTGGATAATTGACACCCGCCGTTATTGATTTTGGGACATCGTCGACTCTATATTCATCCATCATCCACCTGGTTTTTCTGCCATTCGGTGGCTCTCCTTCATAGAACATCAAAATCTTTTTAATACCAATGGTCGTGGACCTATCTCGAATGATTTTGTCAACCCCGATTTCCTTCCAGTACCCATTTGTAGACCCAGAATCGCCACTCCCAACTGCTCGGTTTGGTGTATTTGTTTTCAGGTAGTTTCTCTCTTTCGATGTGAAAAAGTACCATTCGTTTTCTCCAACCATTGCATAGCTTGCTGCATATAAACACATATTTTGTTAAGATTTGGAGTTCCATTTTAACATATCTACTTTATAGGAGTAAATGAGTAATCCAAAGTCTTACATGGTGCTTTATTGTTTTACAGTTTTGCGGTGTGATAGGGATACTTTAAGATATTTACTCCCTCCGCCCCCCTAACTTTGTCCAGTTTTAACTTTTTCGTCCCTCCCATTAAGTTTGTCCCATATCATATTAGGTAATATTTGAGTGGTTAGAATTTATTCCTACTTTATTTACACTTAATCAATTCAATACCAATCACACAATTCCACTTTTTCTTAAAAACAACACCGCCCCCTTTGTCCCAAACTTAGTGGGACGGAGGTAGTATTTAGTTTGGAAGAATTAATTAACAAAATTTATCCAGTCCAGCAAGTAGTAAAAATAAAGATGAGTAAGGACTATTATTACGGAGTATATCATCAGAGTAACGTATAGATTGTAGTAGAAATATGTAAAATATTCAAGGATTATCAACATAGTAATGCATGTTCAAGCTTTAGAACAAAGATGATATGATAGTTGAAGACTATTCAATTGCGCGCATGTAACCAGATCGAATAATGTATAATTACTATTTACTACTACGTATACCATAAAAGAAACCCAAATAATATGCTTTAGGGCTTAATTTATAAAGAGAGCACAGTACGTATACAATATACATGCATTAGGGTTAGTTTATGAAAATAGCCGCCTACAGATTATATACATACATTATGAATGTTATACGAAGTATTAAAAGTAAAACTGACCAGAAAGCTGCTCTGGGGTATGCTCGTAGAGTTCCACATCAACAAATCGATTGGGAGGCAATTCCTCGTTCAGTAACTTCTTGTGGAGATATTCCAGAATGAGCTCCTTGTCAGTAGGACAAAAGCGATAAACAAGAGGCAAATTCAAAGAAGCGGCGGCGGCGGCGGCAGTCGGAGTAGACAGAGATGGCTGATGATTCGGCTCCATGGGCCGGGAGAATAATTAGCTGCGCCGCGATATTGATCTCTTGGGACTAATTAGTGGTTCACCCTTACTTTGGGCGTAAGTATATATATACGACGATGGGAAAAAATTCCTGTACTAATCGATCTCCTATTAAAATTAGGATGTTGCTTTTTCTTCTTCTTTATTTAAGTTTGTTCCTATTCACACGTGACAGCCCCTATATTAAGTTATACTCAACAATTTTAAAATTGACTCTACAATCAATAATTTGGTGATATGTGCTAAATAATTGTTGTTATAAAATGATACGAAGTATTTGTTTTACATTTATCATCCCATCTTTACAGAAAATAAACTCCTATCACATTAGAACTAATATTTTTTCATAAGACCTAAATTCTTTTTATTTTATGTTTAAATTTTGGTATATTGTGATCTAGCTGAAATTTGAATGCCTTCCCGATTGAAGTTTTAGCTGAAATTTGGTATGAGTAAACTAGACTTAATGAATAAGATTCTACAAAATTTTATCAAAAATTTCCACCGGGAACTGCCCCAAATGGCGACGGCCGGACAGAGCCTCCTATATAAGGGTTTATTTGACCTTTTTATGTAAGTTCGAGGACCTCGCTGACCCTTTTACCCTTTTATTATTGTTGTTGTTGTTCTTGTTGTTTTATGATACGGAGTAATTATTATTTTATTACTATTATTATACCTATTATATTTACAATTCTAATCATAACTATAATTGTTATTATAATTATAGTTGTAATTACAATTAAAAATATAATCATAATTACTATATTAATTACAATTATACATAATTACAATTATGACTATAATAATTATTCAACAAGAGCAACAACATCCAAGCCTTAATACCACAAAATTTTGGGGTCGGCTAACATGAGTCGAACCATGATATCATTCCCAAAAAGATATGAAAAGACAAACAAGAAGAAACAAAAAAAATAAAGTAAGACAAAAGGGATAAGATAAGGATAAGGGCTTATGACCTCTATATTACTAAATAATGAAATAATTACAAAAATATGACCAAAATAAAGATGGTTTACAAAAATATGATAAGTTACTAGAGTAGTAATGAAATCATAGTAATTCATGTTCAAGTTTTGAACTTAAGTTACCACAACACTACGTTGTAGTAATGAATAGTCATATTTATGTAAGTAAGTTTTATTTTAGTAATATTCTTGTAAAAAACCCCTAAATAATTAGTGCTTCACGAAAGAGTTACCGTTTTTTGGAATTTCCACAAATGTGACTCTTAAGTATTACGCTTACTAAATTACCCTGACCCAATGACAAAACGTCCACAGTGACATGGTCCAAAGTGACACCGCTGCCGTACACTGCCATAGTGACGCCGCCAAAGTGACACGAGTCGTAGTGACACCGCCGTCGGTGACGCCACCACAGTGACACGCCATCGGTGACGCCACCACAATGACACGCCACCAGTGTCACCGCCGCAGTGACACACAGTCGGTGACACCGCAACAGTAGTGACACGCCGCCGGTGACGACACCACAGTGACATCACCGGTGAACTGCCACAATGACGTCACCGGTTCCGACTACATTGACAAGCTTACTCCGTTCACAGTGACATCTCCTCTCCATCAGAGACCACCGCTCCCCAACCCTTATACCACCAGTCCACCACCATTGCTCCCCTCACACCACTGTCATTGGCTCAATGCCACACCCTCTCCGCACACAACCGTCACTGCACATCCCCACACCACTGCCCCACCTTCACACCACCGCCAGTGCTCCACCCTCGCACCCCTCCATCACCACCAGCCCCACCCCGACCTTCCCAACTCCCTTCGTGAGACACAACCGCCGCCGCCGCCCACCATTTCCGCCTCCCAAACCCAGATCTAAGCCTTTGTTCATCTATTAACCTAGCCGCCTCCCATCACCGCCGCCATAGACTTCACAACGAGATCCGTTTACCAGCGAAGAAGAATGGAGAAGAAGAAAATTGTGTGGATGCGACAGCGGCGTTGGCGCACGGGTGGAGACCTGGGGGCTGCGGCCGAGAGTGGCGTTGACTGGTGGAGAGAATTTCTTCAGCGGAGCAGCGAAGTGGAGGTGGAGGCACAAGTTTTGTGGAGGAAGACGATATGCGCAGATCTGATGGAGAAAGAAGAAGATGCCCAGATCTGTTTAAGCGGAGGAATTTTGGGATGAGGGTGTCTAGATACAGCTGGTCAGGGGTACTTAAGTCAGTTAACATATTTTTACTCTCTTTTTTGTCTACACGAATTTTAGTCATATATTTGCCCCATGAAAGCTGAGAAGTAATATCTATGCCATTATTTCTAAGGATAAACCAGTCTTTTACCTATGCGTTGCACGGGAAAACAGATATCACACGGTGAATGGAGTAAAAACCAAAGTTAAATTGAATTATAGTTGATTTTCATATAATTGTATCTTTATTTTATTAATAATATATATATATATATTGAATACAAAGTATAATTTTTGCATAATTCAGTAGATTTAACCGATTCTGCCTACATTTTATTTTATTAATAAAATACATTTAAAATATGATCTTTTATAATTCAGTAGATTCAGCCAATCGAACTACTTCATCTAAAACTTCATCAATTTCAGCATAGCATATTCAGATCATTCCGCAATTTTATTGTTGGAATTGTTAATTTCAGCATAGCATATTCAGATCATTCCTGATCATGCCATAATAGAATAAAAATAGGGTCATATATTGTTTATCGTTGCATTTTTTTCCCACATAATATGCTCGTATTAGATTTATAATACGAGCAACTTATTATAAAATAATTTACCTTTATCAATCTGATGAATTAGTAATCTATACTTAAATCTAACTTACTTTTGCTATCATAAAAATTACAAATCTATCTATATTGTAGAATGCTCCAAAATAGATATTTCAAAACACAAGTTACATCGATGTTATCAAGCGGAGTAAAAAGTAAATTTATAATTATATGTATAACTATAATTGTAAATATAATTATAGTTGTAATTACAATTAAAAATATAATCATAATTACTATACTAATTATCATTATAATTAAAATTATAATTATAATAATTATACAACAAGAACAACAACATCCAAGCCTTAATATCACAAGATTTTGGGGTCGGCTGACATAAATCGCAGTATCAATAGTATCCAAATGATGAACCTGATCCAGTTTCAAAATTGCAGGAATCATCTGGTCCAGTTGAAGAGACTTGTCTGATTCTGGGATGCTGCAGCTTCTGCCGGTTGAAAGGCCTTCTCCTGATTGTGGGGTGTTGCCTTCTCTTGAATCTGCTGTACAACAACTTGGGATGCATCAACCTCAGCATCCTTTGCAGCCCCAGAGGTCCGAGGATTGCCGGAAGCTTTTTGTCTTTGTTGTTGTTCAAGGTTGTTTTGCGCTTGGGAATCCACCCCTTCTCCATTGTAATAGTAGGTTGAGCATTTGGTACCTTTTTGCAATCAGAATGCCCAATTTTATAGTGACACTTTAATAGTGACACTTTTTGAAATTAGTGTCTTTGAGAAATGCATTAACGAAGAAGTGTCATTAACTCACGAGTACTATAGTATCAATAAAAACAGTGATATTAGATGTGAATTGCTACCACACTTTTGGCTACAACTTTTTAATTCCCTCCATTTTTTTCTTGCATTATTTTTCCCTCCACATCTTTGCCTCCACATTTTTTTGCCCCACCACAAGAATTCACTTACTTTCCAACACTTATTAATTTTATTATTAATTCCCTGCTCCAACAATCTGCAACCCACTCATACATTTACGAATTAGGGGTCTATTGTGTTAAGAGGATCATCAGAATCTAAAACAATGGTTGTTTTACTCAGTTAAATGGATACTTGAACTCCAATAAACAATTACTCCCGCTCTCCAAAAAAAAAGGCATGTTTGGCCATAGGTAAAAGATCATCTCCAATGACTAGCTATATATATGTTGTAGTTTTGCTAGCCACATCAACATTCTCTAGCTAATACATTTTCAACAACGTGATACTCTAATGGTTAGCTACAATGTTTCTCTCTTCAATAGACCCCACAAATGACAATTTAATTAATTTTGAAAGTATACATTTTTAATGAATTGATTTATTAATACAATAAAAATAACACTTATTATTAAATACTTTTAAATGGCGAAAATGTTAATAATATATTTAAATTGGAAATGCATATTGTTAAAATTAATACAAAAAAATGTATTTTTATAAGCTAAAAAATATGAAATAGGAAACTTTAACAACACTTACATACTGAAAATATCAACTTTAAATATTTTATGAGGAAATTAAAGATTTCTTAAAAGGTAAAAGGGATCTTTTGACTTTGCACCCCGCTTTTTGGGTGATATTAGACTTTGCACACCATTTTCAAAACTCTTAGACTTTGCACCCCATTTATCCTAAAATGTCTTTGCCTTTGCACCCCATTCAAGATTTTTTGTTCACAAAATGCTGTACATAGGGTGCAAAGTCTAAAAGTTTTGAAAATAGGGTGCAAACTGCAAAGTCCAATACATTAAACAAAGTATAAACATTAAATAAAGTAAATATAATAAACAATATCAATAAAATAAATATAATTAATTAATTAAACAATATCAATTCAAAAGAAATAAAAATAACTTTTGGGACTTTATCAATGTATTGCAGTACTTTACTTTTCTGTTGGATTTTTAATTAACCGTGAAGAAAAGATGAACTGGTGCAGTGATAATTTTGTATTTCTTAATTCTTAGGTCTATTATTCTCAGTTTACTATTTCAATTAGATGGACATATTTTTATCTATTTCTACCAATTTGTATGAGTACTTCCCTTATGAAACATATTAGATTCTTTTGAATCCTCTTGAATTTTGAATAGGTTGCATGGGCAGATTTATCAAAATGTTTAAATTAGTGTTGTTACATGCAAATGTGTCTTTATTTTTATGTAAATAATGGTTGGTGTCTTTATCATTCTGGATAATTTGTTAAAGACCAAATTAAAACATGTTTGATGAGAGTCACATCTTCATTGATTACACTTGCAATAGATTTCTCTGACAATAGCTATGCATGGGATTTTTCAGTATCACAATTCACCAGTAGATAAGGGTCTAACAATGAGCTAACCCTTCATTGTGACTTTATCTTGGCTCTCCTCTGCTTTGTATTGAAATTAAAAGTTGTGGACTGCAATACGAAGTACTTCGTATATGGTTATTTTCTTCCCAGCTTCTAGCTATCAGTTGACTTGTTTATTAGTAGTATAACTCATCTCTGCAATTATGTCAAAGAGCACCCAGTTGGAAAACAAAAATAATACCACAATTTCATTCTAAATAAGTTGACAATTATCAAAGTTACCCAATAACCATTACATCAACAGAATAAAAAAATTTAGAACTAAATATTAATAGAAGTATTTTTGGGTTACAGTGATAAGTAGAGTTTCATACCCCCAAAAAAACATATTTATAATTTATGAATGCCTTCTAACCCATCCAAGTGTTGTACATTTGTGTTGCTAATTTAAGTGATCTTCTTGAAATGTCGTCCATGCTTCAGTAGGTCCTAAGTAATTAGGAATGTCATGTTTTTTATTCCCAAAATATGAGTAATTACTGTCAAGTTTGGAAAATACTGTCATGTTTGAAGTCTGGTAATGTCAAGATATAACAGTAATTAGTCCTATTTTGGGAATAAAAACATGACATTCCTATTTTGAAATTTTCAAATCTTTTTAATCCTATTTTGGGTAAAATGGGCGATCGAAATCTGGCACATCACTAAAATTTCAAGCAAAACAAGGGCATATGGTGTAAAAAACACTATAATTAAGATCCATTATATCTTTAATTAGTTGAGAATCATACTTACTTTGGACTTCATAGCTAGCTATTATTGCGCTGGTCATTAATGAGGAAATATTTAATGCCACCCCTTACTTATTAGGCTTATTTCTTTAAAATTAAACTAAAGATACTTTCAAACTCAAATTTAACATCTTATTCTAACTCATGGCATTAGCTCCTGCATCAAGAGATTATTTCCTTAAAAATCAAAACAAGGTTTGGAAAAGTAATGTTTTTATCATCCATTTTCACACACGGGTAGTTCTGTTTTCAAGAATAACAGACTAACAGTGTTATATGTGCTCAAATCTATTAAATGTGACTGTGATGATTAGCCAATCAATACTTTTTAGTTATACTTTGAGCCCATCCATTTGGTAACACGAAAATCGGTTGATTCAGCCACCATAGCCAAAGATACGTGTTTGGTGAAAGTTATTCATTTTTATATCAAAATGTGTATTTTTTTATGTGATACTTATTCAAGGAAAAAATTAAACGGAAAACGTTACTTATAATAGTTTAATTAATACTTTACTCAATTGATATGTAAAAAATATGCATAATGTATTTTATTGACGGTGCAGGAATACAAAGAAATATGAGTCAAAAAATTGTTTTCATATAGACGGAGTCCATTTTTAACATTTAGACTCTCATCTACACAACTCCGAATCCACTTATATACTTCGTACTAAGATTTGTATAATGATGTGTAATATTGTCAATATATAAGTTGCCGCAACCAAAAAAAAGAAAAAAAGTTGCCGCAACCAAACGCATGCAGTAAGCAAAAAAATAAATACGAGTAATAATTAGCCTATATAAATTAAACATCAAAACATGTACAAAATCTAATAGAAATAATTAGACCATATATTAAAATAGTAAAGCTAGCTATATAGGAATACGGAGTATATATTAAGCCCGCAATTACGCAAAGACGTTTGGATCCGAAATTAAAATAGCTTCCAGAAGATGTTAGTTAATTAGGTTGTTAATCCGTTACAACGGGAAAAACTAGCTATTCTGTGATCTATATATCTAGCTATTATCTGATCTATATCATCAATTCGATCAAGAACCTAGCTATTATCTGATCTATACATCTGCAGGGCACCAATATAATTCAAATAATCGATCATTGCATCTCATGGATCCGGAGGTTCCGGCGGCCAATAATCTCCCTCCGGCGGTGGCGAATTTACCTCCGGGGTGGCGTTTCCGCCCAAGCGACGAGCAGCTTTTGGACATGCTGACAAAGAAAAGACTGCAGCAGGAAGTTGACCACCGAATTCCAGAAGTGCGGGATTTCTACCTCCAAACTCCGGAAGAACTCACCGCAGGTACGTACCGCGGCATATTATCCGTACACCGGCCGGCCGCCGGCAGTGTTTCACCGACGAACTTTTAATTAATTAAGTGAGTACTATATATATGTAATAGGATATGCTGATATGCTCGGGCTGGGAGAGGACGAATGGTACTTTTTCACTCCATGGGCTTATGAGGAGGAGAACCCCCCGCTCCTTGCAGATGAGTTTTGGAAGCAAAGAGGGAACACCAAAACCGTCCGAGTCCGAGCTGGGTCAACTTATTATGGCTTCAAGAAGACCCTGGTGCTCATCAGGAATGGGATCAAGACGGCGTGGAGGCTGGACGAATACAACGCCGCCCCTCCCCTCGCCGCAGCAGCTGTACCGGTATGTGCGTATGGATTACAAGAATTTAACTAAAATACATACCCTATATGTTATCATGATCGAGCACCGTACCATTCTAATTAATACTCCATTTTTTGCTATCTTCTACGGTTCAGCCGAATGATCAGGAATGGTACCTGTGTAGGGTGTACAACAAACGGGCCGGGCCTCTGCAAGCTTCATATAATTAGCTAGCTAACATACCCATACGCACGTACGTATTCATTTGTTTTAATTAGTTCAAAATTTATTGTTGGAGTCAATTAATTCGGATCGAATCTTCACTAGGCATGCATGCATGCAGCTTTAATTTTAATTATTCATCAAGTCTATATTATACATTTGATGAGTTTATTATGCATGTCCAAACCTAATTAAGTAGTACGTGGACGAATGATATATGCTGTGAGTTTGTAACCGCCTAGAGACATTAATTACAAACAAAAAATGATCCACCACACCATTAGATGCATATGGTGAAAAAGTTAATTAGGTATGCACGATCTTTCCATATTATAACTATATACTTCCGCAACTTAATGTGATGATGTGAATAGTATATGCTGTGATCTGAGGAATTATATATAACAAATAATTTAATTAATTTTGTTATGTTGTGTTTCAGTTAGTTGGAGGAAGGAATACATGCCGCAACTTAATGTGATGATGAAAAGCATGCATGGATCCGATCGAGTTTTAATTTTGTATTGTTTACTTACTTTGATCTATCACTAGACATTTTTTTTTTGTTGGCAATCTTCAGCATGAAACACCGTACAGTACCACTAGTTCGTTATTAATGAAGTCTATACGATACATTTGCGTTTATATACTACCATCCAAACGTATATGATTTGATGAAATACATTATGCATTATGCATTATGCACATGTCCAAAGCTGAGTATGTAAAGCTCTATCATCTTTTGTTTAAGGTGTATCATCTACTAGTAAATTAAATACCAGTAGTATATATATGCTCTGAGTTTGTGACGACTAAAGAAATTGATTACAAACAAAAAAAGATACACCATCTATCATCAATGGACATGCATGGTACACGTATGGTATACTTCGTATTAATTTACTAGATGATGATAGATGGTATACTACACGCGCGTACGGTATTTACTAGATATCTAAAATGATACACGTACGGTGTAAAAGTTAATTATTAGACATGCGTGATATTTTTCATTTTCCATATTATAACTACATGTACATTGATGATAGGATTGACTATTGAGAATACATTCTACCAAAGAGAAATCTTTTTGAATATGATCAGTTCAATTATTCGATCGGAAGCTAGCTAGTACGTCTTTCACCATATGTTCTATTACTTCTATCTATGTGTTACTCCTTGATTCTCTTTGCATATACTCCATCCGTATATTTTACAAAATATATGCTCTGCGATGCACCCGCCATTTATAGTTTATACCTTTAGGATCGAAGCAGATCAAATTTTGGGTTGAATAATTGATCCAAATGCATGTCACCATGCATGTGAAATAGTTATACGCTACGGAGTATTAATATTATAACTATATACGAAGTGTATTTTACGTCCAACCTAACTATATTAATACGAAGTAATTATATTATAAATACATCTTATCATTTTATACATATATAAATGGTAACACCTTCTGACCTTCCTTAAACTTTCAAATAAATCAAAGAAAAAATAACTAACATTATAATACATTGACTAAGTAAATGATGCATAAGGATTGAATTGAATTGCAAACTTTGACCGACACAATTCCCACGGATTAATGAATGACAATAACTGATACTCCCTCCGTCCCAAATTGTTTTGCAAAGTCAACATTTTTTGGTCAATCAATAATAAAAGTCAAATTTTCTTATTAATAATTAATTCAATTTTTAATAATTAAAATTTACGTATTCATAAACTACATTGAAATCTCTTCAAAGTTGTAAATTCCAAATTGGAATATAATTAACAATATATTGACATCCTAATTAAGCAAACAAAACGAATCTGATCTGTTTGACCAAGAAAAGTCAAAGTTGCAACTCAATTTGGGACGAAAGTAGTACTTGTTTTTTACACTTTTGTCCATCTTCCTAAAAGTAGATGACTTTAAGTTAATGGAAAAAAGTAAAAATAAGGGTAAATTTGCCATTTTATTCTTATTTACATACCTAAAATAGAAATTGGAAAATCATTTTGGAACGACCAAAATAGGAAATTGGACCGGAGGGAGTAATACGAAGTACCATACGTGCTTCTTAGTAAGTACTACAGAGTAATAACAAATGTATGAACTCAACATTTTATTGTTCACCAAAGTATCACTTTATTCAAGAAATCAATATACTACGTATATACCGGTACAAATTAAAAAGACTTGATGAATAACTAGTGGTAGTACGGTGTTAAAACTAAACCTGCATGAATGCCTAGTGAAGATTATATTCCGAATTAATTAAGACTCCAACAATAAATTTTGAATTAATTAAAACAAATGAATACAAAATGAATACGTACGTGCGTATGCGTATGTATGTTAGCTAATTATATGAAGCTTGCAGAGGCCCGGCCCGTTTGTTGTACACCCTACACAGGTACCATTCTTGGCGGTTTCGCCCCAAACGCTGCTGCAAACATCCGTTTACCAAACGCAAAAGAAACAGCGGTTCCAGTCATCCCAACAGCCGAAGTGGTCAAACACACTGAATTGGGGTTGAAACGCCAGTTTCCAAACGAAGCCGTAATCTTCTACATTGATTATAACAAATACGGAATAAGTATTAAAATAAATATCTAGGTTTTATCAATAATGACATGATATATATTGCCCTCTTTGTGATATTATAATCTTATAATGTCATTATCAATACATATATTGCTATGGTTGAACCAAAAGAAACGGATAAATTGGAACCGATTGACAAACTAATTAGAACTAATCTAATCAGAACTAAACTCATGAAAACATGACTTAATTGATCAAAACCGCGTAAGCTGATCAAAACATGGCAAAAAACAATCGGAAGTTAGAAAAGTGAGAAAAAATGATTTTTAAATCTAAAAGTATGGGGTTCTCAAAGAAAATTATGTCATTTTCAAAATGTAATCATTTTATTTTGATATAGGTAGTGTCATGCATGAAATTAGCGATATTCAAATTCTTGTCCAATTCAAAATTAGACAGAATAAATATAGTTGGTAAAAAAGGAATGATGAGAGTACACATTGATGGATAGCTATAAAATATGCTACAAAGGGTTGAGGAGAAAAAAATAAAGCTAAAGTGACAATAGCAGCTCGTAATGCAAATGTTTTCATTATAAATATGACAGTTTTGCTTCATCATTTTTCCATCCCTTCTACCACATACATCAGCTCGCAAATTAAGAATTACTATATACGCCTACGCACAGGAGCTGAAAAGGCAATAGGAGAAAAAACAAAATGGTTCGTTATTATAGCAGGGAATGTTCTCGCAGCAATTTGTGGGATCATGGCCATAGTATCCCGTGTTAGTCCTCTTCTCTTTTCTAACTTTGGCATGTTTTATACAGCGAGTTTCTTCATATATACTTTGTACATCTTCCCTTATAATTTTGCCAATCTTTTGCTTTTGAATTATTGCAAATACTTTGACACTTTCCTTTGTACTTAATTATGACGTGATTCTTTTGGGAGGTGTATTCATTTTAGACATTTTAGCACATTTAGGATTTGTGTAATCTTGGTGTATCTAAACACGACATTTTAGAACTCCCGCGTGAGATATGTAATCTAATGGTAGACCGGAAGAATGCCTCTATTTTCATTTTGTTCAAAAGCAGGATCTGTCCGGTTCTATCCTTCATTTTTGTTAGGTTTTTATTTCCCTCCCCCACTATAACATTGACACTCTAAAGGTTGCTCCAAGATAGCAAGTAGGATTTGATATTTTAAGCGGTGGTGAGTAAAGATATCTGGAGCATGTAATACATTTTTTACATGGTAGATTCTATGGTACCCATAAGGTACCGTACCTTTGTCCACATGGACCAATCAAAATCATGCAGTTGAATTATTTAAATCAAAATTAAAAGGGATTTAATGATTTGGACCAATAAAATACATGGTAGGTACGGTACCCCCATTTTTTAAATGAGTACCAGCAAGGGCGGACCGTTGTACAGACCCAGGGGGACTACCGCCCCTCCAACAAAATTTATTTTTAGTGTATATATATAAGAAAAATAATTTTAGGCCCTCAAAAAATAACTTTCGCCCCCCAAAAATTATTTTGAACTCCCCCAACATGATTTTTCTGGGTCCGCCCCTGAGTACCGGAGTTGTCACTTTTTTACATTTTCAATCTGTAATCATCTTTATGTTTTTGTTTGCTTTTAATTGCGGACTACGTTGTGAATGTAGGTAATTTAACATGTTTGCCTTTCAATTTGTGTGGGTTCGCGGCAAAAGTAAAGTAAGAAGGAAAGTATTTCTTCTGAAAAGTTGCCACTTTATTTATTTTTAACCAATAAATTTATTTTACGGGAAAAGGTTATATAAATAAAGTACATGAATAATGTCTTAAGTTGTTTTTTATCTAAATCCATACAAATCTAGCCAAGTCTCCTGATAATCTTAAAATGTCTAAAATGAATGCAACTCCCTTAATGTATCTCTTCTCTGCACAAATATCAACCACAAAAATTTTAATTTATTACGTAGTATTTTTTATGATGACGTTCAAGCTAACTTAGAAAAATTGTAAAGGGCATATGGAGTACCAGGTAATGTGTAGCAAAGGGAGAGTTTCCAAGTAAGACTAAAACTTATGCAAATTCTCAAAACATGATTATGGATTATTGTTTCTCAATATTTGATCACATCCATATGACCATATGGAGCGAAATAAGAATAAGAAAAATGTCCCTACTAGGAAGAAGTTAAATATACTCTCTAAGATTCCATTCCACTTTGTCAGTTTTCTTTTTCTTTTGTTTCAAGAGCTTTGTTGTTTTTATTAAAATATATTTTGTGATTCTAAATACTCCCCCCTTATTTATTTCTCCTTTGCATGACACACGATTTTTATTTCACTTATTCGACATGTGATACAAATTTGTCTAGACTCAATCGAATAAAGATAATGTATGTTATATTTTGAAAATACATAAATAATTTTCTCTGATAGGTGTGGTATATGTTGCAGGGAGGCACCATAGTTGGGGTTATAGCAGCATTTTGTATTGTTTTTGCTTTTATAGCTCTTATTATTCTTGGACGTCCCGCCGGCCGCACAATCATCTGGCCATGTTCGGACCATGTGGTGTTTTATTGGATGACATGGTATATATATACAATAAACTATGGATTACTACCTATATACTCTCTTTGTTTCTTAAAACTTTATCAAATTCGATCGACACAGAGATTAATAAAGTAAAAAACTTATAACATTTGTGTACGTAAATAACTTATTTGCGTATATACTCCATATGGCCATGCTCGCACCACATGTGATCAAAGTAATAACGAAATTATAGTAACTTATATTCAAGTTTTGAACTTAAGTTATTATATTTGCGTAAATAACTTTTATTTTAATATTATTATTGAAATTACCCCATTATTATATATTTTTGGGTTGTGTAGGCTGTGTACCATCGTAGGAGGTTTGTGTGTAGTGGCACCATTATTGATCATCTCTGTTGCCGTAAAACAATGGATCATCGGCCTTGGAATCTTTTTTTGCATCGTGGCCGCGATTATTGCTTTTTGCTACTTCATAACAACTTCAGACTCTTCATGATCATAAAATCAAATGTGCAATTCAACTTCTCTG